GCGAACTGCGACTTACTACCTTGTTGTCGAGACTTTTCTAAAGAGCTAAGAGAAGAAATAAGACATCCGTAGGTATGGAACAATGTGTTAACGGGACTGTACGGCCCGGTAAATCGCTAGGAGTTGCTCGTCGAAATTGCTGTACCTCGATACAATGTCTTGCGACTGTCCTGAGAAGAATGCCAAAGGTTTCTAGTCATCGTTTACCTACTGACGTAGAACTCCTCTGATCGCCGAATCAGGTGCGTCCACTGAGATAACAATTGTTACTTTCGTATCGAGTTTTGCCAGTATGGTTGGCTAGGTGATACCGCCTCCCACTGTGGAAAATACTTCCTTTGCAGCGTGGTCTAAGTTGATCTTTAAATCTTTAACTGGCCGCCCTGTTGAGTTCCTTATGAGAGACTCATATTTATGTGGGAACTTTCGATAAAAATTAATCAGTCCGTCAAACATGCTCAACTTCATGTCTGTGGTTGGTTCTGAGTAATCTAGAATGACAGCTTTTCGTCTCGTGGAGGGTAAATGATTTGAGCGTTTATGGTATTCCGGAAAAATCGGGGGATATGGTCCATGCTTCACATTCCAGAATGCATACAGCAGTGTCATGTTTTCAGAATACTTACTCAGTCTTGTTCACTGAAGGTACAAACGCCATACGTTTTAAACACCACCGAAAATATAAGACACATATGTGCGAATTTACCCAGTGCTCTATTATGCAAATCGTTCGAAATAACTGGTCAAAATTGTCGGACTTTATAGGGATGAAATAGCGTTTGTAATCACGACTCTATTGAATATGCGGGAACTGTTAATACCTTCCATTTGGAAAGAAATGAACTGATAGCTATTTCAGATATTTATTTATTATTTAGTAGTAGTCTTTTGAATCTCACAACATAAAGAGTTTGAAAATAAAACTATCTAGTCATTTGATGACTGACAGTAAAAATGTGAATAATAATTCTCCTTCAAGTAGTTGCAGGGGTTAAATCATACACATTGCTTGCTCTGTTAAATACTTCAATCAAAAGGCCATTAGAAACCACTAGGATTGTTCTGAGAGTCGGAGACGTCTTGCTATATTTTTACCACCTTGGTTCGATCCTTTGCGATGGATGAGATCCAACTATGCGTTTTACCTCAATATTAAAATCGCCACCCATTAACATAGCTGTAGGTTGTGACGATGAGTATGTGAATACCTAATATAAATGTGTATCTATTACACGAACAGCATTTGGTAGTCTATAGTTGCAACGTATCATAAAATGCTGATCGCACAATTACCCACAGTGATGAATATATTGTCATCTAGAAGCCCGTAACACACTGGAAACAATATCAAATCGTACATATATTATACAGCCTTCACCTTTATCCGTATTTCACTCTTTACGGTACATTTTGTAAAAATCTACTGTGTTAAATCAGAACTATTATGTGTGTACCAGATTTCAGTAATTAGAATGCAGCATGGATTGGTCGGGTAAGCCAGAGGTCTAGGATTAGATATCTTATTGTGGAGAGAGTATGAATTAAATAGGATAATGTAAAGATGTCAAGGGACAACGAAATCGGATAAATCACCAACTAACTTGGTGAGTGAAGAGTTGATCTGTTCAACGTTACTGCAATCAATTCATAAAATCTTTGAAACTGTTTAAATACCCGGTCGATAAATTGGCTTATAATCATCATTAAACAATTTTTTCTCATGATTGTCTTTATCCACTATAGATGATTTCGGTATGTTTCTCTATAACTTGATCATTTGGTAAGCATTCTAGGACCTCTTCAGTCACCCCACGTTGATTCTGTCAGTAAATTTGTGTAGCGGTATTGGTCCTAATCACATATTCCTCGGAGCTGGACATGAAAAAAATGGGAAAATAGATATTCAAAATATAACATGAGGACAAGACCAACAAGGGTGAATGCTGGAACATTTAATAACATGGCATGTAGCGGCATTGAAGGCGAGGTCATTCTTATGTAACTTATCTCCTTTATTCATATTAAATATATTGTTCTATCTCCAGCCTAAATGCGTTCTTTAGAAACGCTCAACATCACATTGCTGATTGTTACGTTACGACGAGTCAGAATAGACGATGATGTGACTTCCACGTAAGATCTCATAGATTAGAATTTCACATCATCACATATCTACAATTTTGGGATTAGGTCTATTAATATAGCAGTACTAATGATGGATGCACCGGTCAATCATGAAGCGAGGTAATGTGTGCAAAAAGTAACGTCCACCATTAAAACAAACACGGATCCACTAAATGAAGGTTATGTACGTACAATGTTTTTTTATCATTGACCAGGTAGGAAACGTTCTATGACCACAGGATATGTGTCCATATAATAGTTTTCCACTTCGAGCAAGTTTTTAACACCAGACGCACTCATTCTTGATGGTGAAGATCAAGACCATGGGTTACATTGACCCACTTCCACCCTAGATGTAGAATTATCTGTGAAACCAATTGTTTCACAATGACAGAGTGAACATAGTATATCGAGTCAACACAAAGCGTCCAAACGGAAACCATTTAAGTTCCGCTCATCCTGGTTTATATTCACGACGTCTTAGACAGAACTAGGTCAAGACTACCATTTGCGTTGATACGGTGTTGCGGTTGAATTCTATCCCTGTAGTTTCACCAAGAAAGTCAGTTGATTTTTCGTGCCTATAGGTAACCGTCGTGCTATTCATAGAAAAACCCAGACTAGTAGTGAATAGGTCTTTATATAGATCTTCGCGCAGTCACAGTGGAGCGTGGGATTATCTGTTCAGACAAACAACGCTTTACAGCATTGAATATGAGATAACTGGAAATATAATGCCTATAAAAATTAAGGAAGTGAATAAATACTTGAACTCTATTGTTTCGACATGTACCTAGTTGACTGAGGTCAACTATTAACCAGTCAACCTAAGCTGTTACATATGCATCTGCCACGTTCAACTAAAAAAAACAACTATTGTATTAAACTTTTATGCGTAAACTGCGAGTTACCAACTCAAATATGTTATTCTAATAATAATAATTGCGATTACAGTTTTAAAAGAATTTAGTTTTTGAAGTTCCAGAGCTATGTGTAAACCATCGAAACGATGCATGGTGGAACCAAAAGACAAAATCTTAGATTATGGAAAAACGAAAATACTTTCTACCTCGCTTTTTATCACCTTCATTTCCCACATAATTCCTACATCTCACATTACTTGCACGTTTTGCATTAAAAATGATGCATTTGTTTAATAATTGAATTCATAAGTCGATTAAGGTAAAACAAAATGGAAAATCTGAAGGCACTCTTCGTTTGCTAAATCGCAAAAGGCACTGTTGAGTGGAATAGAAATGAAATGATAACTGTTAATTGGTTTACTCACTTCATACCTAAATATTCGACAATTTATTGTCAGAGTTAACCTCGCTTTCTCCCAGGCTATGGAATGTCCTGGTGTAGTCCTCCAGGGTTCAGTGCTAGGACGTCTTCCTTTCTTGATTTATATAGACAACCTTCCACAATAGATATCGCCAGACTCATTATTTTTCGCTGATGATGTGAAACTTTGGATAGAGATACGCATCCAAGCGGATATACTGGCATTTCAGGAGGATCTGACTCGACTTCAAAGTTGAGCAGACTTTTAACACTTCGAAGTGTAAAGTGGCCCATCTGAGACATTATACAGACTACAGTTACAACTTCGGTGACTCCCCTCTTGAGGTATCCCAAGTCGAAAAGATTTAGGAGTGCTGGTGCCCTACGATTTGAAGTCTCACGCTAACTGTGACAAAAATGCCTTTCAAGCAAACCTCACACTGGTGACATTGATGAGCATTTTTGGCCGGTTTGACGGAAGAACTTCCGACACATTCTCCAAGTTTCATTCGTCCCAATTTACAGTACGGAAAGAGTGTTTCCTCCCTCACTCAAAAGAAAAAGGACACTCTGGAATATATCCAACGGCGAGCCACGAAATCAGCTCTTGGACTGAAATTAAAGTCTTGTGTTGAGAGCCTTAAACAACTCGACCTTTACCCACTGAAGTACAGGCGTCCTAGAGGTGACTCTCTGATGGCTCACAATGTCCTCAACACCTCTAGACATTCCGTTAAACACATACTTACATTTAGCCCCGACACAATCCTAAGAGGTAACAACCAGAAAATGGAGAAACAACACAGCAGAACGGACTGTAAACACAACTTCTACTCCTGAAGAGAAGTAAAATTCTGGAATTTCCTGTCAGCTGAATTAGTCAAAACGACGTCCCAGGAGTCGTTTAAGAGACAACTCGACAGATGCTTAAGGAATAAGGACAGTGTAGCGGTAAATAAATCCCTAAAATAAATAGCTCTGTAAGTTTTCGACATTGGATGCTGACCACATGTTCTAGTGGACTCATCTAGCTGAAGGCGCTCGGTCAGGCATCCGTACCAGATCACGTGTGGTAACACTGTGCTCAACATCTACCGCAATCGCTAGCCAGATTAGATCAGAGAATTCCGATATATTGGTAATCGCCAAATACACTCTCCCGATCTCCTCGACTCTGTCTTTTGATTTCTCTCGGTGGATACAAATCATATTAGAAGGTGCTTCTGGTAAAAGCGTTGTCAAACACTGAATACCTGCGTCATCTTCAATAATATCTTATTACGATTTACTAACTTCCTTTTTCTCTTCTATCGTTAATATAGCTGGATTACTGCCTGTAGGTATTGGTGATACACTACGATTATACACGGAAGCCCGTTAAGAGAAAGTTTTTTCTATTCCGTCCACAACCATCTGAACAACCATTTGAATCAATGGACATCACTAGACGTTGAACTATAGAGAAATAACAAGAAACGCGAGAAGAGAAATCAATTGGTTTATATAGGCTTGTTGCAAGGATTTAGAATATTAGATCTGCAAATGTTCAAAGAACTAATTTGAAGTTGGTTCATGACATTGGCTGCATATCCAACACAGCGCCGAACACAAACTCTGACCTTGTCATGTTTGGATTCTCAGCTGCTGTGAGTGCTAAGTGCTGAGTGGTAGTACAACCCGACTACGTATATTTAAAAGGTCTCTTGGTTGTGTGAATAGGTTTTCTTTTATATGTGTTGTCACGTCATCAAAAGTTTAAGATAGTTTGGTTTGACCAACATTTACATCCACCGTCTTAAAATGATTTGAGACGAAATATATATTGCGTTACGCTTCCAGAAACCATACATCTTCAGTTATCGGAACCAAGTTTTTAACTGGAGTTCCACCATGCATCCTTTCACGCAGAGTTCGAAAAATGGAATAAGCGTTTTGATCATTATCAGGTCACACCCATTCCCATCTTTTAGGTGGGTTCATAGTAGGTTGTTTCAAGAAAATCAGACTATCCCATCCTCCTGCGTCCATAAGCCTTCTCAGTACATCTGAAAACAAGTGTGTTATTGCACTGACTTATTCTATCCAGTCGAATTTTACTCCGGTTTACATCCGCCCCAATGAGTTCGATGCTTCACTTAGTTCAATTAGTCATTAATATATTTTGTTTTCGAAAACCCTTCGTATATTTGCACTTGCGATTAGTAACAAATAGAAGCGTCTGACGTATTCCAGTCAAACATGTGTATCTAACTAGTTATATTAAATAGGGTGGCGAAATTAACTCCAATAACTACCATTTCTCGACGGCTATTGGTAGTCGCAATTTGGTAAGCATAATCAGATAGCATGTAAATGCGTGTCCACACAGTAAGTTACTGACTAATTGGTTGGTTCGATTTATGCAAATTTAAATATTAAGCCTGACTTTAGGCGAATCATTTAAAAAGTATCCATGTATCATTCTGATGTATTTTGAAGCTTAGATAAATCCTTATCTATCATCTTATTCTTAATTGCGTCGTCCGATCCACGGTTTCCCGATAGCAAGTACCAAGTCCGTTAAATATTTCGTAAACACAAAAATCTGACTACGGATTAGTCCTATATGTCATGTAAATCTATCAGTCAAAAACAGAAAAGGTAGGAAATTGTTATATTAGTCAGTAGTCTAGATACGTTTATGTTGTCCTCAATTGTATTCCCGTTCAATGAACCTACACAATATCTGAGGTCGCCTGGGCTGTATTCTGAATACTAACCTAAGTCTAGCTGCATGGCTTGACATCGAAGCGAAACTTTCGCGAATACCTAACCATCTTGGCATTGATTGGGGTTTCTGCAACATAAAATTTATTTTTTCATACAGCTCTTTCGCGCCTAAATGGAAATTTGAAGAACTCTGTTTATGATTTTGTTCACCGAAACGTTTTTCAAGTACCTGTTCTTTTGAACATTTATGTTTGATTAAGTTCTAGTTTGTTAAATAAAACAGGCAATTAATAACTTTTTCGGCCCAGAGGTTTGATGCATGAGACTGAAGCGGACACTGGAGACAGATTTTACTTCACCCACTGGTATTTAAGTAACTGCCGCATATCAATTGCAGCCCATAACACTGCACTTAGAATCGATTAACATAAGGATGAAATGCGATTCCATCAGCTGAGCTTTATAGTTATGGTCATTCCAAAAAGTGGTCCTCGTTAAGGAAATTACTTTGTTAAAAGTCTTCTAATTAAATTTATTCAGTAGTGCGAGAAATTGTAGGTCTGGTCTCTGATGGGACTGTTGACTACTGATCATCATTTTCATTTGCCTTCCTTAGAAACTACCCGAACGTTTTATCACTCATCATATCGAACACCTGTCTCTTTGCTTCTTTTAGATAGTGGATCTGCATATCACTATAAGTTGAGACACTAAAATTTCAATTGCTTTCCATGCCATGGTCAAGTTATTAAGTCTTGAGTAACTTTAGCTAAATTTCATACTTCCTATGTATTAAGGACATTTGAACTATTGATTTTTTCCTCAACATGCTGGGAATATTTTAGAATTGTCTTAGCAGTTGTCTGATTGCAGAGTGAAAGCTTATGTCGGATTGTCGTATCTTCAATAACGGCTTTTAATGTTGGTGTCATATTTATTCCTCCTATACAGTACTGATCACTTCTGAAATCACCTCCAGAGTTCACAATCACAGTCAACACATCTGCGTCTGAAAACATCTATCGTGTTTAACTGTGTTAGCATTGTATAGGCTGTAGGACATGTACTTGTTTTCAAATAATTATAAACGTCTTTTAGTGATCACTGTTTGGAATGTCATTCAAATGAGCTGAACTTGGGTCAAAATTCCGGAATCACGTCACTTTAAATATCTTCTAGTTCATACACTTGGTCAGTAAGGACTCAACTTATTATGTATTTGGCTGAAAGCATATTGTGTTAGCGACACATCGCGATCTGCTACCGCTGGCATGGTTGTGTACAAGACTGCCGCTCCTTTTGGAGTACCTATCTGGACTCTGACCATGCCTTGGTCTGCGCCAATCTTGCCTTACTTTTCAGTGGACAACGAAGTGACCGCCACCAACGGATTGATGTTAGCAAGCTGGTTGCAACTTCTGTTGCAAGTAAGTATCGAACCGAGCTAGCCTCTAGGCTAGCTACCACTCCACCGAAAAGTATAGATGAGCATTGGTTGCAATTGCATGACGCCATGAAAATGGCGGGAACAGTCAGTTGTGGGTTTGCGAAACGTCCCGCTTTTAAGCACTGGGTTTCTTCTGGTTCCTTACAACTCATTGAAGCCCGTCGGTCTACTCCGGGTGACCGTGAGTTTGACCATAAACGAAGGATGTTACGTAAGGAAATTGGGCAAAGCTTGCGTAAGGACCGAGAAGCCTGGTGGTCGATGCGTGCTAATGAGCTGGAAGCAGCAGCTGCATCTGGTAACTACCGGAAGCTCTTCCAACTCATCCGAGCCACTGGCAGCAAGAAGTCTGGTGTGAGTGAAACAATCTGCGAGGATGATGGGATGCCAATCACTAACATCCATCGACGTCTTGGACGATGGGCAGAATTTTTCGAAGGGCAGTTCAACTGGCCTGCTGCTCCGGCAACATCGGTCAGACTGTCCTGCCCTCCATGGCCGGTGACGACTGATCCACCAAACGAGGAGGAAGTCCGCAAGGAACTCCAACTCTTGAAGCGTTACAAATCACCTGGCCCAGATGACTTACCTCCGGCTCTTTTTAAAGATGGTGGTGACTTTTTGACTAAGGAATTGACGACGTTGTTTACAAAGGTTTGGGAACTAGAGAGTGTACCAACGTCATGGAATGAGTCGATAGTTGTCCCTATCTTTAAAAAGGGTTCACGTCGTTCCTGTAACAACTATCGGGGGATAAGCTACTTCCGATTGCGTCCAAGCTATTGGCTTCCGTCATACTTCGTAGGTTGTTCAAAACCCGAGAAAGATTGACTCGCGAGGAGCAGGCTGGGTTTCGTTCTGGTCGAGGATGTATTGATCATATCTTCACCCTCCGCCAAATGTTAGAACACCGCCATACTTTCAAAGGCCAACAATCGTAGTGTTTCTTGACATCAGGGCTGCCTTCGATTCGTTGGACAGGACTGTTCTCTGGGATTGTCTATTGAAGAAGGGTGTGCCTGAGAAGTTTATTAACATCCTAAAAGCCCTATATAAAACACCTCAGGCAGAGTGAGGGCATACAACCACCTCTCTCCATTGTTCCATTCGAGCAGTGGGGTTAGGCAGGGTTGCCCAATCTCACCATTCCTCTTCAACTTTGCCATCGATGACATTCTGGAAACAGCTCTGATGAATGTAAGTAATGGTGGTGTGGATCTGTTGCCTGGAGAAAGACTTCTCGACCTTGAGTATGCGGACGATATTGTCTTACTGTGCGATAATGCCCAAGGCATGCAATCCGCACTTAATCAGTTGGCAATCAGTGTCCGTAGGTATGGTATGTGCTTTGCACCTTCGAAGTGCAAAGTACTTCTACAAGACTGGCAGGATTCTAATCCTGTACTCACCCTGGATGGTGAGCAGATAGACGTAGTCGAGAAGTTCGTGTGTAGCTGCATAAGTGCTGGTGGGGGTGTGAGTGATGAGATCAATGCACGAATAGTGAAAGCCAGAGCGGCTTATGCCAATCTGGGCCACCTTTGGCGCCTTCGTGATGTTAGTCTGGCTGTAAAAGGTCGGATCTACAACGCGTCGGTGAGAGCAGTTTTGCTCTATGCTTGTGAAACCTGGCCTCTCCGAGTTGAGGACGTTAGACGACTCTCTGTGTTCGATCATCGCTGTCTCCGAAGGATTGCTGACATTCAGTGGCAACACCATGTCAGTAATGCAGAGGTTCGGCATCGTGTGTTCGGGCACAGAGATGATAATCAATTGGTGTCACCATCTTGAAACACCGACTTCGGTGGCTTGGACATGTTCTCCGAATGTCGTCCCAGAGAATTCCACGTCGTGCATTATTTGCCGACTCTGGGACTGGTTGGAAGAAGCGGAGAGGTGGTCAGTGCATGACATGGTGTCGTGGCATGAAAGAAAGCTGCAAAGGACTGGCTTGTGTTGGTCCTTCACGACTCCCTGGTTGGGGTCCGAGAGATGGTGCTACACAGTGGCTAGAGACGTTATCAGATATGGCTCAGAATAGAAGCCAGTGGCGATCCTGCTGTAACCTTCTTTTACTTTCTTCGTAAAACGTGGTTGTATCTTCCTTAACTGAAAGATTTCTTCTGATTGTACCCTTCTGTTCCCATACTATTACTATTATTATTACACTACCTTACACCAATCTCTTCGTTATTGTTTTTTTTAGTATTTTTCTTTACGTTCCCCACTTTTTTCTTTTTCTTAAATTCTCATTGTTTTGTGTGGCGCATATATATTTGGCGCATTCCTGTACCAATATATATGTGTTCAAAATAAATAAATAATAAATAGCGACACTTCCAGCTTCGGACAGAAAAACACCGAGCATGAGATAATAGATTTTTAAAAGTTTAATATACTTAGTAACATAAAGTGCATTTTATGATGAACGATGTGGTGTAACTAATAAATCCAGTGCTAGTACTTTTGGTCACAAGTGTGCGAAATGTCTCGAAGATATATTTAGGAAATGTATTTGGCTATTTTATTTTTTCCATCTTGTTAGTGTGATGACTTGCTACGGTTCCTGTCGGGGTATTTAAAAACGGAGTGGCTTGTCAGTTTTCTGTGATAATGTTATAGCATTACTACAATTTCATTCAAATAACTCCTCTACGGTCTTGTAAAGGAATTAGTATGTGCCTAGAAAACCAAAGCCGTTTTGTTTATTTTCACTTGTAAGCAAGTGCGGATGACCACGATCAACATTGTTACAATTCTGCACTCCTGTATTCTTGATTTGGTTATCTTTGAAATTCTTCATTCCTCGTTTTTTTCTCTCCTCAAACGTCACTTGTGTCAGTTGCTGATCTGCTTAATCTGAGTAGATTCTACTTCCTATTAAGAGAATCGTTTGGTCTTTCGCAAATTCGAAATAATCAAGTAATTCCCAAATCATGACAACAAGTTTTAACACACAAAGAGTGAGTCTTGTCACAAGCTATTAGACTTTTCTTTAAGGCTGAAGAATTCTCACTCAGTCACCAATGATTATAATATTCAATAGAAAATTGTAATCGAACACAGTATTTGAATACTTCAACAAACTTTAACATCAAGTCAAAACGTACGCTTAGCTACCTTTAACACGAAACCAACAGTGGCAAAAGTAAAACTTTTTACCATTCATCTTTGTTGAATATAGTTATTTTGTGGGTTAGTAGTCTTCATAAACCACGTATGACTTATAAAGATCGCATTCGGAATGTAATTACGTCTTACGGCATTTGACAACAATGAATGAAGTTATGATGATCAATTGCCACATTAAGATACAAGTCATTTACATGATGTTTTACATCTGACATGCATTTTGAGACAGATCCAGAACAAATAACAATATTCCTATGTTTGCATAACTCCTTTATCAATCTACGTTACTTTATGAACAGATTTAGGGTTGGCATAATAATGTCTATTTTCAAGTTTTGATAAAGCGAAATTCATTTCGCCACATTATTTTATTGTATTCAGTTTACTGTTTAATTATTTGTTGGTTGCTCCTGTCATAAAACTATCTTCAATATTGAGATAAGATGCAGTTTCGATTTTGTTTCTTCATTTCCGTATTACTTGTCGTCTACTTCAACGGGTAATGTTATCAGGTGAAGGAATAAGTTTAGAAGAATCTATGGGGCAAGCAAAATGTGCCACCAGTCTACGAAGTTATTGATCCCGGAGCTGAGTCATGTTGGTATGTACAGACAATGTGGTTGAGGTTCGCACAATAACCTTAGTCAGTAGTTGGAGAGGTTGGTTAACCTGACTCAAAATCAACCACAATGACGTACATGGATCTATTTCATGTTTCTCTAAATCTTGACTTTCAACATTCCTTGTCTTTCCGAACTATATTCCCTTTATTTAGTCTTTCCTATTATCACCACTACTATATTATATTCAATTCATTTACTACTTATATTGTTATCTATATATGATCTTTCTAATGTGTTTATTCATTTTAATGCATGAACATTGGTACTATCAAGTACCAAATATATATGCGCCACACTTCGTCATTCGATTTGTGTGAGGGCTAGGATACTGCCCATACGCCCAGATCGAAACAGGTGGTTTTCTTAGGGGACCAATTTCCGAGCCTTCGACCTAAAAGTCTGATCCATAAGGCAGTGGAGCAACATCAGGAGATGCAGTCCCATGGTTCCTTGTGACCAACAATTGGTTCATACGTCATTCGTTTCATCAGGATCCTAGAGCCCATGTGCACCATTAGTTTGGAATAAGGGTTTTTCAACTTCCCCGGATGGACCCTCCGTGTCCACCAACCCGGTTAAGGCGCCGGACATCCGCTTATCGTCCTCCCAATTTCGTGAACAACAGTAATGCTGCGAGAAGACAGTGAGTAGGACTTTCTTGTCAATGGTTGTATACGCGTGGCCATGTGAGGGCGTTTCGTGGAGAGCGATATCTCCCACGAGGATATTTGAGGGCTTTGTTAATGTAGTTTGGCGACTTGAATTGACGCGCATTTGTTCCATGTTCTGTGTTGATTATAATGGACTAACTGACTACCTGTCAAAGTAATCTTTTGTACAGAGCTACATTCCTGTAGGGACTTCTTTATCACTTAACATTGGACGAATCTACCTTTAGAATGCATCATCCCCATTACTTTGGATAATCTTGTCTTAAAAGTCAAACTCATAATCATTTTAATGCTTCTTAATGAACTTGACATTTTCATATTTAGTGTTGAAATGTCCCAGCCGAAGTTTTGTGTCCAATAAGAAAACGTGTTCTTTTCTAATTTCACGTTTAATATCTACCTTCATATTAAAACTGTAAATACACATAAGTGTTAATTGCATGTTACTGACACTTCTGAATTACTTTTTGTGTTTGAAAAAATAAACATCAAAAAGAAGATTCTCTTCACAGGATTGTTGTTATGTAGGTTTATAACAAAAGAGTTAAATGAGCTAATTTTTCAACATCTTCAAATAAATGTGTTTGTAAATATAAAGTGCTTGAAACATGTGCTATGCATGTTCAATCATTTTTCTTCAGTAGGTGGTAGCTGGATTTAAAGGTAAGTTTGGAAATGTTTTCTAAGGGGTGAAGGTAAAACAAGGCATTTAAAAAACCAATAGTATTTGTCAAATTATTATTAATAGCATAACTAGATTCAGGTTAGAATCCATCGTCTCATACTGTCGCTTTTGCCAATGGTACTTCAGATAAGCTCTGTGTGGGGAGTTTGTTTATGCTACAGAAGCCCTGTACTCACGGAATTACATCCCTCGATCATTTTTGTCATATTTCTTTTACCAATTTGATGATTTTTTACCGCGAAATTTAGTACCTGAACACATTCTTCCCGACCATGGGCCGCAAATATCCTTCGGAAACGCCTCGTAGTGCCATGCGTGGCCAGTGTAATGGATCTAGTGTCTTGGTACAACGCACACATAAATCACCTTCCTTAGAGTGCAGTGCAGATTGGTTTAAACAAGAAATCAAATGTCAAATGGAACGAGGTGGTTTATTTGAGGATCCATTTATGCCTGCTACCGACTCAACTATCAAATCAGGATCTGGATCGAGTAAACAAAGTTACAGATGGCTAAGACCTGTTGTAAGTCATCTTTATGTTGATTTTATTATTCATTAACTGTATGTTTTCTATTATTAACTCTTGTCCTTCATATATTACGAAGTAACCTGATCGATGTTAGTATTTTTAATAAACTTATAGTGAATATCGATTAGACGGCTAATGAGACAGAACGAACAAAGTGTTATCTCCATAAATTCCAATTCTGTGGTTCGTGAATATGTGTTCGGACGTAACAATGTTAATTCTATTGGTGTTGTCACCTTGAAACACGAACTTCAGTCCCTTGAACTTGTGCTACGAATGTCATTCCAGCGACTTTCATATCGTTCACACACTACTATTGCTGGGATGTGGTGGAAAAAGTAGAGAGGTGGTCTGTTAATGACATGATACTGTGGTATAAAAGAAAGTTGTATAGGACTGGTTTCTGTCGGTCCATCACGACTCCCTGGTTGGGATTTTACTTTGTTGCTTGAGATGTTACCAGACATACATCAGGACAAGAAACAATGAAAATCCTGCTGTAGTCTTCTTATTACTTACTGTACTTAAGCCTTTTACCCGTCTGGACGCACAGGCCACTGACCAGATATCTCCAAGAACAACTGTCTTGGTCGCTCCCGTTCCCAGTTCGCGCTTATCATAAATTTCTTTTCGTAAAAAGTTGGAAAGAACTCACTTAACTAAGAAGTTTGTGGTCGTAGTTTTAACGGAACTGTCAATCCCACCTTATGTTACTTTCGTTCATTTAGAACTGCCGCACAAAATTTTATAAATTGGACAATTAGTGCACAGTATTTCTAAAATTCATATTAATAGAAAGAGATTTCATAAAGCATTATGTAACTTTATAGTGTGTATCTGAGTTACATGTGCTTAAACGTTGACTGAAACATTTCTATTTAGCTTGTATACTCCAATAAGGTTCATTCAAAACTACAGTGGGATCCAGAATGCGAGTTTTGTCTTATTTGAGACTCGTCAGCTAGATAGACCTGCATTCCAGAGTTGATGTTCATTCTGAGATTCGAACCCAGTACCATTCGCTTCAAAAGCCATCGAGTTATCCACTTAGCTACTGATTCGCGATAGCCACTTTCTTTTTCAATGGGGTGGAGTTTAAATTCATTTTGTATTGTTTATTTGAGTCTTACCATTGATGTTCAGGACTCCCAATGAGTGATCATTTACAGTTGTGAATAGTTTCACTGATTTCACACACTAAATATCGTTCAGAAATCAAAGAAAAAATCTAATTTTCATTTATTCTAGTTATTTTTATGGGTTCTTTTAGTATTCTTAAGTTGTTTCTTTTTAATATCAAAATCATGGGTAAGAAAACTTCTTTTGCGTATTAATAATGCATGTGTCTTTTTTTTAAAACAAAAAATTATTGTTCATATGTGTTACATGTGCATGAATCATGCAATAGATGAACTTTGATTATTCACTATTCAGGAACTTAGCAGGTGCCCACGTTTTGTTGCAGATGGAGTTAGTCGCTTCGATATTAAACAAGGTGAACTTGGTAAGTTTACATTATTATAAATATGGTCGATTTTTTTATAAATCAATACCTTATTAATATATGCTTCTGAATAATTTCTAAAGAAATATTACTAGATCCTGCCAATATAGAAACATTAAAATTGACAATCAAATGGTTACCAATCAATTTTCGGTGATAAGATTAAATACTGTGGTACTGTGGGTTAATCAGATTCTGGCCAAGATGAACCTTCCTTTTCCAGGAAACATGGCACACCATTGGTTTAACATGTGGCTTAAACGAAAAAAAAGTGATTTTAGAAACCTAATTACTTACTTACGCCTGTTACTCCTCGTGGAAGAGCATAGACCGCTCACCAGCATTCTCCATCCAACCCTGTCCTGGGCAATCCTTTCCAGCTCCTTCCAGTTGTAATTCATCTTTTTCATATCTGCTTCTATTTCCCGACGTAATGTGTTCTTCGGCCTCCCTCTTTTCCGCTTCCCTTCAGGATTCCAAGTTAGGGTTTTCCTCGTGATGCAGTTTGACGATTTGCGTAATGTATGTCCTATCCATTTCCATCGTCTTTTCCTAGTTTCTTCTTCAGCTGAAAGCTGGTTTGTTCTCTCCCAGAGAAGGCTGTTGCTGATGGCATCCGGCCAATGGATATTGATTATCCTGCGTAGACAACTATTTATAAATACTTGTACATGTTTGATGATGGTTGTATTAGTTCTCCAAGTTTCAGCTCCGTACAGTAGAACTGCCTTAACGTTCGTACTGAAGATTCTGACTTTGATATTGGTTGAACGTTGTTTTGAGTTCCATATGTTCTTCAATTGTAGGAATGCGGCCCTTGCTTTAGACCCGGCCTCTTCAGGAGTTCCTCGAAGTATTCTACCCATCTGTTCCGCTGCTGTTGAATTTCAGTGATTGGCTTGCCTTCTTTGTCCTTGACCGGTCTCTCCGGTTTACTGTATTTCCCTGCTAGTTTCTTCGTTGTATCGTCAAGCTATTTCATATTTCCTCTTGCAGCTTTTTCCGCTGTCGTTGCTAGTTCTTCCACGTACTTCACTTGCTTGTTTGCTTCTATGTATTCAGCATGTGCTCGGACTTTCTCTGCTTGTGTTCGGCTGTTGTTAATTGCTGTCTTCTTGTTCTTCCTTTCTTTGATCTTGTCCAGTGTTTCTATAGAGATCCAGTCCTTATGATGGTGCTTCTTGTGACCCAGAACCTCTTGACACGTTGAAGTTAATGCTTCTTTGATACTTTTTCAGTTGTCCTCCATAGTAGTTTCTTCTTTCAGTAGATCCTGTAAGGCTTGGAACCTGTTGTTGAGAGCTATCTTGAATTCGTTGAGTTTGTCAGTATCTCGAAGGAAGGCTATATTGAACCTTTGTAGTGCTGTTTGTCCAGTTGTCCAGTTTTTCTTTAGCTTCAGTTTTAAATTGGCCACAACTAGGTGGTGATGTGAAGCTATGTCAACTCCTCTCCTGGTTCTCACATCTTCCATTGTCCTTCGGAATTTTTGTTGATGCAGATATGATCTATCTGGTTCTCTGTAGTGTGGTCCGGTGAGATCCATGTAGCTTTGTGTATACGTTTGTGTGGAAATATTGTGCCTCCTATGACCAATTTATTGAATGCACACAGATTTGCAAATCTTTCTCCATTTTCGTTTCTCTCAATCATTCCATGTCGTCCCATGATATCTTCATATCTCTCATCAGATTGGTGAGGTCGTTTCTTGGGCACTTCTCTATGATTGACTGCAGCCGCTCGTAGAACTGATCTTTAATGTCGTCGTTGCTATCATTGGTGGGTGCATAACATTGGATAATATTCATTGTGATCCCCTCCTTTGTTTTGAATGATGTTTTGATGATTCTGAATCCATGAGATTCCCATCCTACAAGTGCATTTCGTGCTACTTTGGACAGGATTAGAGCAACTCCCTGAATGTGTGGAGCATTTTACTCTTCGTGACCGGAGTATTGTAGCATCTCTCCCGTATTTAACTTTTGTTGTCCAGCTTGGGTCAAATGGGTTTCTTTGATTCCCAGTACTGCCAATTTGTATCTCCTCATTTCCGTTGCTATTTGACTGGTCTTCCCGGTCTCCCACATTGTTCGGACGTTCCATGTATCTATAAAAATTGTTGCCCTGGTTGTTAGAAGGGGCATCGGCCTCAAGGCTTCCGAAGGAACTCGGCTTTCAGCATGAAGCGTAATAATTCTTCTAAATGAAGACCTTCTAACTTTCAGGGCAGAGTTTAAATAGTTTGAAGTATTATTTCTGGCAAGCGTCTTTTTGACGAGTTAGTTTTCTACGGGGCGGGATCGCTAACCCCATGCCCAGATTGGTGAAATTCCGATTGTTTTACACCCACTAAAATTAACATTGTAGAAGTGGTTCAGTAGACAAATTGGTAACTTCTTAGTTGGTTAAAGAACGCAAAATATCACCTCACTATTATGAATAAGACAATAGTTTTGAAAACCCTAAACAAATTGAGTTAAATAGTTCCAATATTACCCTGGAGAAGCTCTAACCAATGTTTTCTTATGTCGTTAACATTCCTGTTGTACGAAACTGTTCAATCAAACTTCGACTGTATTCAATGTTCTTCTTAAAGAAAACTGTTGTGTTGTTACTTCATCATTAAACCATCACCCCTAAATTTCTCTGAAAAAATTAGTTTTATTTAATTGCCAGTCGTTTAACCTTAATTTTGTTTCAGTCATATGTTTTACCGGTTAGTTTGGTAATTACTCAATTGTATCCGATAGTTTATGGCGAAAACAATCAAACCAGGAGATTCACCGTTATCTACTGGTTCGTTCAGATTCAAATGACAGAGCATTGATATTAGTGCGATCATCAGTAATAATAGTAGTGTTCATCATGTGATATCATTGTGTATTATTGTTTTGTTTTTGTAGGAAACTGTTGGGTTATAGCTGCCTTGGCCTCATTATCAATGTATCCAGAATTATTTAATCAAGTAAATAAGAATTTACTTGAACTCAATCCTTTTTTATTGTGTGGGTTATCTTGTTTTTTAAATTTTATTTAACGTATTAATAGTCAAGATCCTCAAATACAACACGGAGGGCACCAACCTAATCACACTTGATGGAGAAGCTCTGAAAGATATAGAATCATTCACGTACCTGGACAGCATCATCAGTAAATAAGAAGGATCCGATGTAGACGTAAAGGCGAGGATTGGCAAAGCAAGGGTCACATTCCTACAACAGAAGAACATATGGAACTCAAAACAACTGTTAACCAATATTAAAGTGAGGATCTTCAATACGAACGTCAAGACAGTCCTACTGTATGGAGCTGAAACTTGGAGAACTACTACAGCCATCATCAAAAAGGTGCAAGTATTTATAAACAGTGGCCTACGTAAGATACTCAATATCCGTTGGTCGGATACCATCAGCAACAACCTACTGTGGGAAAGGACAAACCAAGTTCCAGCTGACGAGGAAATTAAGAAAAGACGTTGGAAGTGGATAGGACATACATTACGGAAATCACCAAGCCGTATCACCAGGCAAGCCCTAACTTGGAATCCTGAAGGGAAGCGGAAAAGAGGGAGGCCGAAGAACACACTACGTGGGAAATTGGAAACATATATGAAAAGGATCAATAGTAACTGAAAAGAATTGGAATAGATTGCCCTGTACGGGGTTGGACGGAAAATGCTGGTGAGCGGCCTATGCTCCTCCACGAGGGTTAACAAGCGTAAGTGAATAAGTAAGTAAATAATACTAGTCCAAGATACACTCAGTGAAACAGATTTCGATTTGCTTAACCACGGTTAATTTACCCAGCGAGAATAATTTTAATACTATATTGTATAATGTTATACAGTGGAGTTCAATCACTTGTTTTCGGCTTGTACACAAGTATCAAATGGACTGGTGGGAAACATATGGAATAGAGACATATCCAGTCATAGAGTAGTATTTAGGATTTGGTATTATAATATTGAAAGTCTAAGAGTTTTACTCTCCATGACGGTCACTATTCAAAGAACTATAATTATTGTTTGTTTTTGTATTAGATCTTCCTAAAGCTATTTGTGCAGATATTGAAACTATTTCAAAACGTTATGTACATTTTACACTAGTACACCGATACATACTTTATGCGTAGAAGCCAATTTCTAGATGTAAATAACTTCAATCTTTCATTTCTAAAGCAAGATGATCATAATAATTGTAATAGCATATATTCCTCTATTGAATAATTCCAGTCAAGGAGAAAACATAAAATCCCGAAATAGTTCCATATTTAAAATGATATCATTATCATAATTATAATTTCAAGAGCCAATCAAATATGATGTTCAATCTTTCTTGATTTTTTGCAATACATACATCTCAAAATTTCCAAAATGCTTTAACTATATTCATTTCAATAAATTTTTTTACATAATTACACACTAATAATCAACTTTCTTGAAATAATGAAATATCCATAATCAAATTATGCAAGTCTTTTGTTTTGATTATTTTTAAAGGTTCAATCAAATAGTTACATTGAAAGTGATCAGTTTTATTAAATAGAATCATCTAAGTTATAATTATCCAATTGATTTGACAAAAAAAAATAATTGAAATGGCTAGACTGGTCGAATCAACAATTTATTGATAGGATTAATGGTTACCAAATACATTTTAAAAGATGTAGACACCCTGATCAGTTGACTTTTTTTCTAAATATACTTTAAAATCAGAAGGGAGTTTTGTAGAAATTTTAGTAATTTCATAGCTGAATTCATGAGTCAATTAAAGCTAGATCATCATGGAAAACCTGGAAGCACTGGACGGCCGTTTCGTCCTAGTATGGGACTCTTCAGTAGTGCGCATCCACGATCCCGCTCGTGAAAGTTCTGTTGTGAGATAATAATTCACTGAAGAAAATGGTGGACGGTGGTGCAATTTCGTGGATTGGTTGGAGCTAGACATTAACACAGTTGGATTCCAGCTTAGTGATCTAGAGGTTAAGCGTTCTCGCGCGAGACCGATAGGTCCCGTGTTCGACTCATGATCTCAACCAATGAAAAAATTTCTTGACAATAATATAACAAAGGTACCAAAAAATGCGCTGAACACACATACATAAAGGAAAATAAGAATATTGTCAAGAATGAGAAGTGAGAAAGTCATTCAATGAAAATAAAAGAATAGACATTTAGTAAACATTACAGCATACAGTTTCATTAAGAATAAAATTAACACTCATTCCATTCATTTGCAACGTCCATTTTATTATTTTTGTAAAATGGCAATAGAAACCTTAAAGCCGGATCATTATCGGGTCTTATTCTGAACTACATCTGATAAGACTGCATGACACTAGATTGTACCATCCAATTAGTTGTGACAATAAAACCAATCATAATCCAACTCAATTATCGTATAGTCGACTACTCCACATAACAAGCTAATCTTATCTGTCCTTTTTCCATCCAGTCTCAACATGCATATTAGATGTTAGACAGTTATTCACTACAAGTAATGGAAGATGGTTACTCATTCTGAATTGATTGAAGTTAAACATTTACACCATTAGATGCTAGTTCAGTGACCCAAAAATTACTCGTTTGCTCTGGAAATCAGTCTTGGATTCGATCCCTTGTGATGGTGTCAGGGTTGGACACTACTGAGCAATCCCATATCAGTTTTTGATTTGAAAATCCTTCAACCTCTAAAAATCTCCTTATACCAAAAATAATCCATAGTTTGGGAATCGCTATATGGCATAAGTAAAATATATCCAAAAGCAATTGTAAATCATCAATTTCACACACGTAGCCAGACTTTATTATTCCTTAAATGTCCTCACTGAATCTAAGTAATCCTCTGAAAACGACAATAATGAAATGGTCAATGGATATTGTCAACTCAAACAGTATGCATTTTGAGGATTGTGACGTAGGAATACTCACTTAAAAATATACACATGATAACACCGTTTTTTATTCAGACAAAGCGATAGTCAGATAAATGACAAAAAGATGACGCTATTTGGTTGTTTTCCTAATTTCTGAGTTGTTTTAATCAATTATTGAGTTATTTGTTTATAAACTGTGGTTGTGATGTACAGATTTATACATCTCACTTAAAGTCTGTCAGACATGAACACGTCAGGATTTCGTACACGTACCTCGATTTATGAAACTAATTCACATATTCAATACCACACATATTTTTACATTACATTAAATTGAATTATTCTTTTAAAACAATAAAAATGTTTATTTTTCCTCTCCATAAAATAAAAAATGCACTTGAAGGTTGTTCCACCTGATCAATCATTTGAAAAATCATCAAAATATCCATATGTTGGAATGTTTTGGTTTCGATTCTGGCAATTCGGTGATTGGTACGATGTTGTTGTAGATGATCGTTTACCAACTCGTAATGGACATTTAGTATTTATGCATTCCGCAGATCCTAATGAATTTTGGTCAGCTTTATTAGAGAAAGCCTATGCTAAGTCAGTCATTATAATAATGACATTACTATTATATTGATTGTTCTTTATAATGATTAGTCCGGAAAGGTTTTTGCAGATTTCATTTTTTAAGTTTTATTTGAATGGTATTCAGTGGAAACATGTAGATAAAGGCTATCAAAAGATAGTAGTGTATGTCCTCCTACTCTTCTGAGTCCTTCACAATTCAGTTCAATCGATTAACTTACAAGTGACTATCTACTTGAGCTCAGTACAAAAAGCACATGTATGAAATTGATGTTGTATTTATACCTATAAAACTATGAAGTTTTAAGATGCCATATAACTGGAAGCTGAATCGATTTGGCACTTCACACTAAATAAATGGGTTCAAGTAGGATGATCACGTTTTAGGCTTCGTATACATGTTTCATAGACTGCATAAACCCACTCATTCCACTGGGTTCTGAAATCTTGATAAATGACATTTGTATCCCATTTAAATATGTGGTTCGAATAGTATGTACTCCCTCGTATAGTTAGATTTGTAGACCAGACATAGGACTTTGTAGGCTCGAATCGTCAGCACTATTTGCAAATGTGATGTGAAAAATAGAAGTTACTAACAGGAACAGAGATAACAAAAAGGGTAACAAATCGGTTTGTAAGGTAGTGAATTTTTATCGATTTAGGTGGTTAGGACATGTACTGTTTGCCTAACCACCGCTTACCTCAGTGAACAATGCTCGCCAGTTCACAAGTAGGTTGGAAGAAAGCTGGGGACAGCCGAATCACAATTTGACATCATCCCGTAAATTCATTTACTCTTGGTCTGAGCCGTGTAGGTAGACTTAAACTACCTGGTTAAGGTCTGCTTGATAACCATTGTCAATGATTAGGTGATATAGGTAAGAGTCGTACTCAATGGCGCAGATACACTAACTCTTTATCTTCCCCTCAATCTGAACTTCCAGTTTCCTTTCATCCATACCTTTCCATATTCCCAATGATTAGTCTGTCTTCTCACTAATGCGGCTTTTTTATTTCCATTGCTTGTTGTTTTCATCTTGCTGTATTAATGTGGTATGGCAACTTGGGTGAAACATTTGTGCCAGGCTCTATGTTGATATTATCTATCTGACGAGGAAGAGATTCAAATAAGAAAACTCCATTTAATCTGTTACTAAATCTTTTGAATCGGAGTTTTGACTAACTACCTTTTTCGACTGGCAAACAGTTTAGGGATGAGTCCTCCAATTCTACTGACTATGATTTGGTAGATTTTACATTAATAAAGGATTCACATGATTTTATACTTATTCCTTAACTTTCTGATATGATACTGAGCTTTCGTTGCTTTTTATCCTGTTAAGACTTGTGTCGTCTTATGATGCGCTTCGTGGTGGGTGTACAGCAGAAGCAATGGAAGATTTCACTGGTGGTCTTACAGAACTTGTTGATTTAGGTGCGAAAGCTCCTACTAATATATTCGGCATTATGGAACATGCATTGAATCGTGCCTCTTTAATGGCTTGTAGTATTGATGCTGATCCACATGAGATTGAAGCGAATGGTCCGTTAGGATTAATTCTTGGTCATGCCTATTCTGTAACCGATATACGACAGGTAAATTTCTTTTGTAATAAATGTGTAATTGGTATTTCTCAATATATCTACATCCTTATTGATGCTTATCAATTTATGTACATAAAAATGTTTGGGTCAATGAAGGATCTTGAATTCACTACTAATTCATATTCATACCGGCGCATCGCAGTCATGATTTCCACAAACTTCTCAAGTTTCACGTTCAGAATACTCACTTGTATATTCCGAACATTCAGACGTGTTTACAACACGTCTGGCTATTCAGCCCGCGTATATCACCCATTTAATAACTTCATGAAAACTGGTAACGTTTTTGCCTCAAGCACAAGAAATTTGGCTACTTATATCGCTGCACATCAAGTTATGTGGAAAATGTTCAACCTGAGTTGAAGAAAGGAAGTATAATTAGTAATTTATTCTATCTTGGTAGTTAGGAAGTGATGGTGTGTTTTGCAATATATAGACGAAAGAAAGAGTTACAAAAAACACTGACAATTGAATATGTGTTACTGTTTAATATGCTGTTTTGTTAAATGAAACTATGATTCATATTGAAAAGTTATAAAATCTTTAAGAAACATTTAGTAATAAGTAAACATAATCTTCTGGTTTATGTATGTTGATCTATCAGACATCTAATAATTTTAAAATGTTTTTATCATTAAGTTCCAGTTTTTTATAGTTTCATTTGTGCTCATTTATTGCGTAAACTCCAACTTGTTTGGTTGAACCTATTAATTGATATTACTGAACGTACCTCTTTAATGACTGACATAATTTGAATAGATTTTGTATGGTTAAAGTTGTACGCTGCTATTTTGAATGAACAATCATCAATGTTGGATTAATGCTTTAGGGACTGTACACTTCCTAACGTTTGGATTATTTATACATATTTAGTTTATCAAATAATGATTATGGTAATAAAACACCTGACCAGTTTCTTCATAGAGTTTTAGACATATCAACTGTGTGCGTGTTGTCCCGACCGTTGCTGCTACCTTGACGTGGTAGTCAGACTGCCTATCGCAATGAACCAATCGGGCTATAATGGCTGGAACAATCGTTCCCCAAGGTCCTACAATGTCGGACAGATCTGTTGAAGAGCGGTAAGACTAAAAGCAGCAAACCCAAGGTTCGAGGGTAAAGTCGTACTGCTGACTGTACAGAGGTGTGACGGCAGTAAGGCGTTTCCCTTAGACAGCCAGCGTAACAGCAATGCTGCCTCCCCACAGGAAAGAGTGGGGTTACGAAGGGTCGACCCTAGGAATGCACCCCTCGCCTTATCCCACGAGTGTCCGTCTCCGGAGGCAAGATTTGGACAATTACGGAGCTAACACACAAATTACCCACAAGAAGGTCGTGTGTGATGGGCCTCAAGCAGTTATCCCTTGGACACTGAGGATACGCTCCCAGGTCACTAAGACCAATTCCAGCTCGATTCCCTTTTCAGATACTTCTAGGAAGACCCTTCCACGGTGTAGGCAACCGGGAACTGATAACCTCACTCATACATGTAACAGCACTCAAGACCACTGTATTGTCTGTGTGTATTGTATTCTTTATTATCTATAACTTGTTAACCAATCAAATTGAAAACAAGAATATATTGAGTTACAATTTGTATCCCGAGACAGAAATTAGAGCAATTGTATACAAACTTAAATCCAAGCGTTGTATGTAATATAACCAATACTGAAAAATCCAAATATATGTACAACGTCATAATTTCATCATTTTTGTCAAAGTCTAAGTCCTTGGATTACTTCAAAAAGAACTAATCGAATTACATAAATCATTTTCTTACCGTGTAATCTCTAAAGCTAAATCCTTAAGGTTTGTTCTTTCCTATATCATTGTGTGTGTATGTGTGTACGTTAGGCTACATGCGAAATGAACGAAGGTAACTGGCTCGAATTTTCCTACTACATCTCTTCTATTTTACCGTAGAAGACCTATTTCTATTTCATTATTACTATAAATGGATGAATATTTTGAAACTTGGCCTACTTTTACGGTGTATATTCTTATGTACCCCGTGTATATTTCGATTTTATTTTTTGCTAAAGCCGAGCTTAAAATGCTTGTTACCTATCAAAATTCAGTCATGTACTGTTTTCATTTTGTTTCTTAAAGCTAGACTGATTTTCCCTTGAACTACATAGGTGGGTGGTAATGCATACGCACATTTATGTACGCTTGCATGCTTACACATAGAAATATATATATATATATATATATATATATATATATATATATATATATATATATATGTTTATGAGTGTTTATTGCCAGATTTAAAAGATGGTTTCATTTAATTGTATCAAAATATGTATTGTAATAATTAACCTTTTATTGCGCACACTATTCGACAATTACCTTACATTGAATAATTAATTACCTGACCAATTCAAAGTTTTGTTGTGAACATATTGGTTAGATATGTTGTGTGAAGTATTTGAAAATGTGAACAAATGAAATAATACATTGTATATAACTAAATGACTTCATATCAGATATATTATCCTGACTTTCATATTAATAAAGCTAAATCATTAATCGAATTGGTGTATTAGCTGTTTGAACATAAGATTTCCAAACATTTCGTCTTGGTTTCGAACCCCGTTTGATTTACTTAGGTCAAGGCTGACGGACAGCTGTCATCATATGCATATAAAATATCTCAAAACCAGTTTTATGTACAGTGTTGTACTTTTTCTTCCATATACACTTTCATTTGTATTTATATTCATTCACTGCTTATTTATTCTTCATTTGCATGTCTTTCTAAATATTTACAACACAATATCATATCATGTCATCGTTCCTACCTTACTACATGTTTATTGATAGCTAGTTTTTTGTTTATCAGTTTATATTGTTTCTGTTGTGATGTTTGCTTAGATTAAATGTAGTTAGCAAATTTTATTTCACTTCTCCACTACTTATTTATACTTTTCCTCACTCACTCTCTTCCTAATAGCTTATATATTAAAATTTAGAGTCTTCCAAATGATCTTAAGTATTTTATGTGGAATCGGATGGGGCTTAGAAATGAAATTCGAGACATGCGTTTCATCGTATTTGGGACTTGTCAGCTGAATGTACATGCAGTCACCCAAACGCCCTGATACGTCCGAAGGTGGGGAGAGTCATCTCTCCCTCTCGAAATGCTCTCACATGGCCACGCGTATATAGCCTCTGCCAGGGAAGTCCTACTTACTGCCTTCTCGTGGCGGGAGTGTTGTTTACCGAAATTGAGAGGACGAAAAGCACTTTAACTGGGTTGGTGGACACAGAGAGTCCACCTAGGGGAGTTGGAAAACCCTGATTCCAAACCATTGGTGCACATGGGCCCCACGATCCTGGTGGAACAAATGGCGTATGAGCCAATTATTGGTCACCAGCAACCATAGGACTGCATCTCTTGATGTTGTTCCACTACCTTGTGGATCAGACCTTTAGGTCGAAGGCTCGGGGTGTGGCCCCCTGAGAAAACTATCCGTGTCGGTCTGGGCACCCGTGCAATATCACAGCCCACATACAAATCAAGTGGCTTGTGTGGTGCATATGTATTCGGTGCCCCTTTGTACCAATATTTATGTGTTGAAATAAATAAATAGATAACTCCAGACACCATTGTGTCATCCCCATAGTTGCTGAGTCCAGTTAGCCACTGGTCCGCTAACTGCTATAAGATGCAGGTACATATAGCTGATGAGCCTCAAATGGGGGAAAAACGTGCATCCTTGATTCCACTACTAGCTACCATTCAACTCTACTTAATATGCTTGTGACTTAATCGCAATATCAAAATAATCCACTCAGAATCCACATATCCAAAAATATGATCAACTGCAGTCCTAAACAGCAATGGTAGGGTTAAACGACCAATAAAAATGGACCTTAGATATGTTTACATATGTTATTTTAGTTGATTAGAAATATATAATTTATCTAATAAAACTACCAACTGAGGTCATGTGAATGCTAGTTTATAAAATATTTTGATTTGCATCAACCTAAACACTCCTTCAAAATATTTCCTTTCTGTTGCAAATGAACGTTTGTTCCGTCTTTATCTCCATTATGCCGAAACACACCTTAAAAGTTATACCATTTAATTTCTTTAACTTTCCAAACAATTTTCTTAACTTAAAATTTGTAGATAGAATACTTCATGTTAACAATTTTTAATAATTCCGTTCATCACTAAGCATCTGAACATTAAATTGGCGTTTGGAAAGCACAGTCAGTCAGTCACAATGCCGAACTTCTTACTTATGTACTTCGATCCAAGTTGTTGTACCCCGCTAGCACAGCGAGATGAAATTATGGAACCAAAACCCTAGATTAGTAGAAGTATTAATAATATTAGTGGTAATAGAAAAGATCAGGCATCGAAGATAAGATTCTGGAAAAGATAAGTTAGCGAAATACAAACAAAAAGAAATGTGAGGAATTTAGATGCTTAGAATTTGGAGCGAAGACAATGAATGGATGCATCTGAGCCACTACAAACGATTTGAGTCATGTCACTCAAAGTCTGTAACCACTGATTACGATAATCACTCTGACTCCCAATCATATAATCTACACCTATTATTTTGGAAAGCACAGAAGACAGTAAATGTTCAATGTTTTTATCAACATAGAAAGTCGATGATGGTCTTAAACTTGTATCATCCTTACAAATTACTATTTACTTTAAAATTCCTTCTTATTCACATGACTATTACTATTACTATAGAAAATTCCTCGCACGTTTTTTCTTGTGTTCAAGTTGCCGTGTAGATTAAACTCAGGGTTATTAGAAAACGTATCAAAAAGAAGGAAACTGATAAAAACAAGTTTATTTTTATGTCTGGAAAAGTGTTGTTTTTATTTTTCTTATTTTTTTCATCATTTTTAAAATAGTTAGGTAGTTTACTAACAAAACAAAATAATTGATTTTATTGTTCCCAAGTTCTCTAGTAAAATATTATCCTAGAGAGTAAACATGATCAACTCTAGCACAA